TGAGTGCGTCGGTGTTTTAGAAGGGCAAACTGCAATCCTGGAGGCATCTTCTGTAGCAGGAGCTATACCACAAAGGCCGTTTTGTGATTTTTGTCTGCATGCTGGTTGCTAGAGTGGTGCTCCTTCCAGCTGCTTTCAACTCACATTTGAAGTTCAAGATGGTTTTTCCCCTTTGTTCAGTTTTCATACTTTAAGTGAAAATAACAGATATTTCACTTGCTTTTATGGCATAGACAGTGATTGCTATTATATTTCAGACTTCAACAGACATGTTAACTGCTTACAGAGCTGCTCTACTGTGACATAAAATTATGGTGAAAACTGCTCCTACAGGACCTCAAAGTGAAATTTCACATGGTTCCAGAGGCCACGGTTCAATTGTTTTGATCTGTTTTCAGCTCTAATACTTGAAATCATTGCCAGGGGTTCAACTACTGCCCTTCTGACATTTTACGTATAAATACAAGCTGTCCTGTGGCTTTGCTGACTGTCCCAACTGATCTATTACAAAAAAAAAGATACAGGTCACGCTCTCACCTTTTCAAATATGGATATTTGTAATGAACCCATTGGCACCATTTAAGTGTCATTTTTCAAAAGCATGATTATCACCCTAATACGTGATCTTTTGCTCAATGTTACTAACTAGTTTTATGTATAAACCTAACCAACTAGGAAATGTGAAATTAAAAAGTGACTGAAAACAAAGCTTGAAAAGTGCAAAATAAAGCTTGGTCGAATTACAATCTCTTACAAACTTGTGGTTTAATTTATTGGCACCCCAACAATCTTTAAATGCCACTCTTTAACCTCCTGCGGGTTACAGGTGAGAACTGAAGAAAAACAGTCACAGCAGCAGTCACCTCAAGGCACTTTATATTCTAAGGCAAAGACCTACAATAACGCAAAGAAAACCCAACAATCATATGAGCAACTTTGGGCAAGCAGTTGGCGACAGTGGGAAGGAAAAACTCCCTTTTAATAGAGAGAAACACTCAGTACATCATGGGAATTCCCTATCAGCCCAGACCTATTGCAACTACAAGATTTATAAAAAAGGAAAGTTTTAAGACTAATCTTAAAGTAGAGAAAGTGTCCGTCTCTCAGTTGCAAACTGGGAGCCGATTCCGCAGACGAAGGGCCTGAAAACTGAAGGCTCGGCCTCCCATTCTACTTTTAAATTCCCTATAAAAAACTTCGTGTGGTTTTCCTGGTCAAAAACAAATCATTTGATAAAATGAAAAAGAAAACAATGAAGGATAAATGTGATATTCTGATTGCGTAGAGTTAGGGTTAGAGTTGGAGCTGGCACTGATGAGTTAAATAGCACAATCATTGTCCAATAATGCCACTAGTGTGCCAGGAAATCCATGCCAAAGCACACCTCTGCAAGACCAGAACAGCAGTATCTGACACCCTAGCATAAGAAAGCACTTGACAACTATACAAGTAAAAATGTTTTCTATCTCTAAATGGCAGAATGGGTTTAATACTTAGGTCTTGTTTTCGTATTTAGTGCAAATAGATATCTGAATTTCAAAGCCATCAAGAGGCTTCTCAAGCAAAAGTTTGTCTCTGTGCAATCAGCAAACAGCATTAACTTCCCGCCTCTCCTCAGGGTATCCTGTTATTTTCTTTCCACAGGAATTTTTTCTTTTTTTTTTTGGCAGCAGATGTTCCTCTCCACCCTGCCCATCGTTGCGGGTGCCTGAGTGACGGAGAGGCCGCCCATCAAAATGCCATCAGGACCCTGCTGGCCACCAGATGAACGCATGCCCAGAATGCATCATGTGGGGGCTGTTAAGTCCCATTTACCTCTTCCTCCCGTCTGCCTCTTCCCTTTACCATCAGCTTGTGTCCTCGTAACTCTCCATCACCGAAGCAGACATAACAAAGCATTCAGTGACACTTTTTCTGGTTTGTGCTGACAAACCAACTTAACAAAAGATGAGTCTCGACCCCTGGCTGGCTCAGTATAAAAGACCGCGGCAGACGGAGGTGTGGGCATGTGAATAAATCGATTAGCAGAGCGCTTGACGGATGGGATTTACAGGAGGTCTCGACGCACCAGAGAATTAATTTTGCTGGGAGAACATGGTTCTGCCAGGTTCATTCGTCTTGGCGGGGAATTTGGCAGTTTCCCCAGGTCTGGGGGCTCAATTAACGAACGGCTGCAGCGGTTCGGGGAGGAAACAGCTTTGTTGAGGAATATGCCACATCCATGTGTCAGGCACATTTTAACGATAACAGATTTTGGGAATGCAAAATGAGAAAGGGAAAGGGGAGGTTAGGTGGGTGAGGTTAAGCTTTCAATGCTGGATTGGTGGGGGTGGGGTTTTAAGAGGAACTACAGGACAAAGAGAGAGGTAAAAACATCTTGTGGAACATTAAGCCAGCACGACGTGTACGTGTTATTAAACAGCTGGTTAATTTACACAGCATTACACCATAGACCCAACAAATACACTGTACTGCAAAAAGCATTTGCTTGTCTGCCTTCACATTGCCTTCAGTGGCATCCCATTCTTAGTCCATAGGGATTAATGTGATGTCAACCCACCGTTTGCAGCTATAGCAGGTTCCACTCTCTGGGATGGCTTTCCCTGGGGTTTAGGAGTGTGTTTATGGGAATTTTAGGAGCATATTTGTGAGGTCAGACAGTGATGGAAGCCTGGCTTGCAGTCACAGCTCTAATTCATCCCAAAAGATCTTCTATCAGGTTGAGGTCAGGACTCTGTGCAGATCAGTCAAGTTCTTCCACACCAGACTCACTCATCCATGTCTTTATGGGCCTTGCTTTGTGCACTGGTGAGAAGGGGCCATCCCCAAACTGTTCTCACAAAGTTGGGAACATCAAATTGTCCAGTCTCTTGTTATGCTGAAGAATTAAGAATTCCTTTCACTGGAACTAAGAGGCCAACCCCATGCTATATAAATTAGCGACCTGTGTGTACTATGCGCCTCAGCATCTGCTGACCCCGCTTTTACGTGGCCTACCACGTTGTGGTTGACTTGCTGTCATTGCCAATTGTTTCCACTTTATTATAATACCACTAACAGGTGACTGTGGAATATTCAGCAGTGAGGAAATTTCAGGAATAGACTTGTTGCACAGGTGTCATCTCATCAAAGGACCACTCTGGAATTTAGTGAGCTCCTGAGAGCAACCCATTCTTTCACAAATGTTTGTGGAAGCACTCTGCACGCTTCTGTACTTGATTTTATGCACCTGTGACCATGGAAGTGATTGAAACACCTAAATTCAGTGATTTGGATGGGTGAGTGAATACTTCTAGCAGTATAGCATATAAGGCAAATATTCATTTTACTTTTGATGCTGCCTCCACCACCTTTACACTCATAAAGCGTCCAGTGTTTTCTCCTCCTTTTGCTGTAAATGGAACCATAATGAGAAGATGCAAATGCAGATTTAAGCAACTAAAAACAAAAGATGGGGTTTTTTCTTCATCTTCTGTATACAGTCAGTTATTTATACAGTAATATTATCAGCTTTGTCTTTCAAAAAAAAAAGATTTTCCATATGAAATTTGCACAAATGTTACTTTAACAGGATGTGGTCTGTTCATTTCAAGATGAGTATTTTCAGTGCATGGGCTCTGCAGAGTAGCTTTGGATGATTAAAAGGTCAAAATAATCTTCATTTACTGGGCCTTCAGTTAATCCATTGTCTAAAACAATCAGTTTTAGCACCTCTGCCTTCAGCCAACTTTTTTCTGACTGGAGGAGTTAATTGAAAAGGCCTCTGTGGTGACCAGATTGGGAATATCTGCTGTCTTTGACATCATACAGACATCCGAAATCAAGCTTCTAAAGCAGCCTCAGATAGCCTGAAAGAAGGGATTATTTTTATTATTTGAAGCTGCGGTTGAACATATATATGCATCCACCATTGTTAAAGTATAAGTAAATATATATATGTATATATGACAGAAACTAAGGATAAATATGATGGGCCTGCTTTAAATTCTTAAGTACCTTTCTTTGGAAGTAAAAGGCAGGTGAACCTAGACTTCCACAGACTGAGCATTAATGCAGAGTTGCTTGTTGTGTTGAAGCATCTTTGCACTCACTCTTCCCTTCCCACTATCTCAGGTTCCAATCCCTCAACCTGAACATTTCAGTGGATGATTTATGTAGTAGTGTTGCTCTGTGACCTCAAAATCCGCCCCATCCATACCGCACCTGTCACTGCGCCACTGCCTGCATGCTTACTGAAAAGCAAGCCAACCATGCAAAATGGCAATTTTCTACTCACCTAGAGAATAAAAAAAGGATCCAATCCATTCAGAGGCAAAACACGGAAAATTCTATGATATATAGAGCAGGTGCGCGAGGCCTTGGCCCACTGCTAACGAGGGAGCTGAACTGCACGCACCGTTGACCACAACATCTGTCGTTTTCACTGATGCAGAGTTTGGTTTTACCTTTGCAGCACAGTTTGCACGGCAAGAGACAGGAGATGATAAAGTACATAAGATGGATACAGATGGAAGAGACCCGGCCCGATTTCAGTTGGGGGGCACAAAGTTCCCATGCTGTGCCTTGGTAGCATATGATGCATGAGAATCCACCACGAGCAGCAAAGAGTTATGCTTGTCTACCTGGGCCCAAGGTGAGGCCCGGCCTGACCCAGTTCACCATCCCAGGTGGAAACCCTAATGAGCTCATCAGGCCTAACGAAGCTTAACAAGCTTCTAATTGGCAGCGTTATGATGTCCCCGAAGGTCAGAGTGCAGGTTCCTGTGCCAAGAGCAGGAAAGGCTTTCACTTCCTGCCAAGAGCAATCACGTGACTGACTAATATCCCTTTGTGTAAACAAAGTCGGGAAAGGGCAAGAGGAACTTCTTACATAAGCAAAAAGTGGAGTGTGGTAGCTTACAGATAAAAAGTTGTGGTGAGGTTTGAAAACAACGCTGCAGCCTCACAACTGGAAAACAAAGATGTAAAAAAAATATCACCAGTATAAATCATGCTTGACAGTGTAATCTAATACAAGAGAGAATACAGTCACCTATAACTTTACAGATTATAAAATTAAAATCAACATATACAAATTTGCTACCAGTAAATAACAAGCAGTTATAAAAGTTTGATCGGATACAGAAATCTTTTTTTTCCCCTTTAAAAAAAAAAAAAACAAAACAAAAAAAAAAGAGCAGAGGCTGCTCAGGTGCCTGACAAACATTTCTGTGGTGAAATGCTGCCACCTACTGGTCACTATGCACAGATACAACTTCAAAAAAATCTGCCCACTGAAAGAAAGAAAAAACAAATTTCCACATTATGGCATAATTAAGATAAAATTCAAACATGCCATCTGCTATATTTAAGAATACAAAACCCCAATAAACAAGAAAATAACCACATCACACAGTTATGAAGACAGAGTGCATGATGTACACGACATATATTTTAACTAATGATGTAACTACAAGGTTAGTGATAAAGACATGGAGGAGGTTTATTGCAGCAATGACAAACCACACAAATAATATCAGAAAATGTACTTTTTTAAAAAATAAAAATAAAAAAAAAAAGAATAAAGAGAAAGTTGTATCTGATAAGCACATACTGCATGTTTCTGTTGGATATTATCATGCAAGTCCTATTAAGATCCATTAAATCCAGACTGGCCAGGAATAAAAGACTGGAATAGCACTAAAATCTATCCAATTTCCCCTGCAACAAAAAAGCATCTGAAACTATATAAAATTACATTTTAAAGTAAAGAGATAATTTAGGAGAATGTAAATACAATGAAATTAACAGTTTAACTCCTAGATTAATTCCAGTGAATGTGAAGGATCTCAAGAAAACAGTGTCCAGCGCAGCAAATATTAACCTTACACGGTATCCTAAAGTATTAGTTAAAGTATAATCTGTATAAAGGGAAAAAAAAGAAAAAAAAAAACATGCCACATTGTAGGAGAATGATGAAAGCTTTACAATAGAGATAAACTTGTGTTTAAAAAAAAAAAGTATAGTACAAGTCCGCAGCAGACTGTTTGGTCACTCTGATGTTCCACACAATGTTGTGAGTCGATTCTGTTGGGAAAAATAAAAAGAAATGATGAGAATCAAAGCATATGCAAATATTTCACATCGAAATTTGGCTAAAGCTGCAACAAAACAGTGACGAAAAGCTGACGAAACTGCAAGTAACGCTGTCCTGCTGGAGTTAATTTACCTGTAGCTGCCGAATGCTCCTCATGGCGGCTTCGTCCAGCAGTGACAGATCCACTGAGTCCATCTGACTGGCCAGCAGTTGAATGCTCTGGATCAATATGTTAAGGACACTTGTGTTAGTGATTTAGTTTTTGAGAATTAGCCTTCTAATCAAGAGTTTTGTTAGACAATTAATTACTCAAAAGCCATGAAGTCATCAAATGTAACTAAACAGTCATCAACATAAACACAGTATAAAATCAACACGAAAGCAGAAGACTTGAAGGCCGATTTAATGTATCTTTAAGCTCATTTTCAATAAACCATATATAACAAAGTATTCAATGTTTTATCTTCCTGAAAATAGACATCTAAATTTCTTCAGTAAATATCGTTTCCTCTGCTGCCTTGTTAAAATCATTTCTTAAACAACTGACTGATCAATAGTACCTGAAGCTCTGAGCCTGACTAAATGTGCGCTCACCTCTCCATTCCCAACGGGAACATTGATGACAATATCCTCATTTCCTGCTGCAATGGGAGAGCCGTTGACTGAAATGCTATAGACCCTCTCCTTGTGGCGGGGAACTCTCACTGCGGGGGTCTTAGGAAGCCTGAGGTGAAGTGAGTAATATGAAGCCTTCTTTGTAGGAAATGTCAACATTACAGAGTAAATAGCAGGGGCTGCCAGATTACAGCAAGTCTCCAGTCCCCACACACTTTTTAACACTCAAAGACACTAGATTCACTTACAGCTCTATGAGAGCAGAGATTTTGCTTTAACGAGAAGACTGAGCTTTAATACAATACTTTGAGCATTTGTTTGTCTGTTTGCACATGTTTTCACAGAATCACTATCTATTCAGCATGAACTGTAAATGAATTTGTGCTAGTAAAAATGTCTCAGTACTATGTCCCAGTAATAAATCACTGAATATAAAGACACAACAATGCAGAAGTCTTCAGTGAGCTGCACTGGATAACCACATTCAGCACAGGTTAGATGTCAACCTGTGAGGACGACTGGTGCACTGCTAATGTTATCCACACACCGCAAACTAACCTGACCAGTATGTGAGTCTAGTATCTTATGCACAATATAAATCTGACCCGTCTTCATCTGTGCTCAATTTTGAATCCTTTTTTTAACCGTTTTATAAATACGTTTTCTCCCCTCTCAATCAACTAGAACACTAATTGACATTGCCAGAAACACCATCTTTAGAGTGACACAGTACTAAGGTGTACCTTGGGTCAAAGCGGGGGGTAATAAGAGGAGTGGGTCCCATCATCAAAGAAGAATCCAGCAAGCTTCTGGCAGGAGTAATCAGGGGGTTCCTGTTTGATCTGAATCCAAACAATGACAATGCGTTAGCATCACATTTGTTAGCCACCAAACTTGCTTCCAAAAGTTTTTAGCAAGGGAGGAAAGAAGAAGAAAAGAAAGAAAGAAAAAGAACAATACAAAAAGTAAAAGAGCTTACCGTCTGATGGTGGAGCTCTGCTTGCTGATCGACAGCGCCTTTGCCCTCTTTGTTTTAGTCGGGGGCTTTCTGGTAGTTCTCCCCTAAATTATAAACAAGCATTTAAAACACCACAAAAGAAGCAAACAGAGGATCCTGCATAACAACAGCTGTATGTAGTTGCTCTCATGTATGACTGTGTGAAAAGCAGTCATTACCTTTTTTGTTGTGCTTGGGACGTTTTCATCCTCAGAGCTCAATGTAGCCCCACCTTTCTTCTTTGATGCTGTGGATTGGACAAAACAAATTGCATTGGCTAAAGGGAAATGGTTTTCTTGTTTCAAGGGAAATGTATAAACTACTTTTAACTCACTTTTCTCAATTGTTTTTAGAAGAGATGTATGATCCTTAGCCACAACACTTTCCACGAGTGCAGCTTCCTCTTTTCTCTATAAATGCAAATATAACTGAGTGTTTATGCAGAACAGAGCATCCTTGCACAAGCATGAAACTTATATATACTTAACGTATATTAAGTATAATTTGAGAAGGCTAATCAACTGACCTTTGCATTATCGAGTTCTGGTGTTTGTGGTTTCTCAGACTCTGCAGAGATGTAAATATTCTTTATTTAATGCTGTTTAAAAACCAAACCCATATACACTATATACAGAGAAGCAGTGCAGATAATACTTTTTAGTAATAAGCTATATATAGCCTGTCAAGGCTAATGAAATTCATTCAAGATCAAATGCACAGATTTTTGAAAACGTACAATTAGCTTTTTTAAAAATAGGAAGCAGAATGCTGTAATGCTCCAATGTGGCTCAAGAGCATTTCTTCTTTATAGATTTGGGATTTGTTAGTCAATAAACTATGTTTACTTACTCCAATGCTCCAACCAGTTCATTTGTCTGACAGCCTTGGGGAGCTTAATTATTGCCATGTTGTAGCTGTTGTCAACATCTTTCAACAGCTGGTTTATCTTCTCTTTCAGCTGTCCAACTCTAGTCTTCACTGCAGAAACACAAATGTTGAGTTCCGCTTCAGTTATACATTGTCAATTCAGCTTAAGTTATACAGTGTCAGGGTGGGGTGGATGGATGTTAGTATCAGTGGTGATTTGTGGCAGTAGGTTAGCAGCAAGAGTGAAGGTAAGATTTCCATTGGTAGTGACCAGAAAGGACAGATTAGAAATTAGTACATGTGAAGGATGGTTGAAGTTGAGTGGTTTGGAGACAAAGTTAGAGAGGCAGGGCTAAGATGTCATAAACATGTGCAAAGGAGGGATAGTGGAAATACTGGACAAAGGATGTTGAATATTGAGCTCCAAAGCTGGAGGAAAAGTAGAAAAGGTTCATGGATGCAGTGAAGGAGGACGCTCGGAGGGTTGGTAAGACAGAGGAGGATGCTAAGGATATAATGAGCTGCAAGAAAATGTTCCCCTGTGGCGACTCCTAAAGTGAGCAACCGAAAAAAGAACAGGGAGTATTTCTGTAGCATTTCTATGGTGAGTTTAAAAAAATAGTAATAATAATCACCCTCGCTGTCAAAATCCTCCAGAAAAGCTTCCAGTTTTGCCGTCTTGGGGTTATTCTTGCGTTGTTTGGTGGTCCTTTTCCTGGGAGCCATTTCTGACGGACACGGAGTATATTAGTATATTACAATATACCCTAGTACAGTACAGTGTAGTGCAGTATAGTGTGGTATATTAACACCCCATAGACACCATGAAATATTAACATTGTGACCTTAATCGGGAACAAAAGAAAGCAAAAACAAAAGATCAGCCTACATGCGGCTAACTGTTGGTGAAGCTAACGTTAGCGAGTAGCTTTAGCTGAGTTAACGCTTATTTTCTGACCTTATTTTCGACAGCTGTGTTTACACCTACCAATGTGTGTTATGGTATTTTAAATAACTTTCCCGAGATGTATTTACATAGATTTTTTAAGTATATATCATTACCTAAATGTGTTTTTCCTGTTCGTCCTCGACACTCGCCTTCCTTCCTTCACAAAGCCGTTTTCAAATCTTCGCGCGGGGAGGAGCCAACACACCAGATCAGCCAATTAGGACGCGCATGTGCCTTGCGTCGCAACAACTTTGTTTTCAGCCAATCGTAGCGCCGAACGTCAGTGTTTACATCAAGAGAACGGAAATGGTTCAGGCAACATGGTAGAAATGTGATGTTCTGTTGCTGCGGGAAGAATCATTTAAAAGTCATTTTTCATAAAGTCGCCTTCATGAAAAATAAGACATAAATCTGACTTAATGTATTTCGTATTTTTCCCTTTTCCCTCCCACCTAAGTACTGAAATCGTTTGCTGAAATGTCCACGCTTGCGGTAGCTACGCTTCATCAGGCTCTGAGGAAAAGCTTCGCGACACTTGAAAGCAACCAAAAAGTATGGAAGAGTGTTTTAGCCGAGTGCAGCCCTCTGATGGTGTCTCTCGGGAATTTGGCGGAGCAGTCGAGAGCACTGTCCAACGTGCAGATCTCCAACACACCGCTCAGAGGTTTTCCTGACCTGGAGGAGAGACTCCGCTTTAAGCTCCTTGAAGCAACGGATATAGTGCTGGGAAAACTCAACGAGAAGATGTGAGTAAATCGGCTTTTATATCTGATAAGGATGCTGCGTTATTGGTATTCACATCAAACTATGTATGTTCAATGGGACAGGAGTACAGCTACACCCTTCTTAGTAATAAAGATCCGTTTATTCTTTAGTAAGTACCTTATTAGTACCAGTTTGCAGAAGCTGCTCAGAGTATGCTTAAAGTATATATTATACTATAATTTTTTTATCTCACCCTCCCTTCTTTCCTTTCCTCTTTCTTTCAGGTCTTCCCTCCAGTCTGCGAGAGATGCTATCAGTAACCAGGTTGCTTCCATCCTTCATCTGTACGAGCAGAACGCACACAGTTTAGATCTGCTTGCAGTAACTGAGCGATCAACCACCACCCCGTCGGTCGCTGACATGCTCGAGTGGCTTCAGGATGCTGAGCGTCACTATCGGCAACAGTATCCTTTTCTCTCTTCAGTTTTGGATGTTTATGTTATATTCTGGTATTTTTGTCCCCTCAACTCTTGTGTTCAGATTCCTGAGGAGGAAAACTCTGCTTCAAACACTGAGAGCAGATGACCTCTCTCTTCTGGAATCTGCTCCCCAAAGGTGGAACTCCTTGGAGTCTCCCAGTGCTGAGGACCACATCACAGGTAAAATGTATATGACTATTTCTGTGAAGGGTCTCAGTCATCCACTTCATTGTAGTCTAAGGAGCTTGGAAAGAAAAGCGTCTGGACTTTAAGTTGCTTTGCCCCCTTTGAGGGGATACTCCCACTGGGTTTAAATCTGGGACTCTCCACCATTTGACCCTTAGAACTGAAGAAGCTTCTCGGATGAGAGGTGAAACATCTTCAAGCAACTTAACGAAGTCCAGACGCTTTTCTTTCCAAGCTCCTTAGATTATATGACTAGTACTTCACTATACCATTCAGTTCACATCTATAATTAATGCTGTATGATGGACTAGTTCTTTCAACATAGAAAGAAGCTGAAGATGTTTATAAATGTACTTAAATCCAGAACAACACAAGTACTGACAGACTGTCATCTAGCATATATCTAAAGTCATGTAAAGATTTGAAAACAATAGATTAGAAAACAACTGTAAAAACATAATTCAGGGAAATATTATGTCATGGCTTTAAACTTTCCCGTTACACTACAGGGCGTCTTTAAATATTCTTTTTCTGTCACTTATAATCAATCATAAAGTGACCTACCTTTATGGCCAGTATTCATAAAACTTTTAAAATTCAACTCAAGTAGCAAAATTTAACTTGATATAATTTCACTTTTAATAATTGAGTACACATTGGCCAGAGATCAGTGCTTTGATGGATCTAGAAGTGACCGTTATTTATTAAACGAATTATCTTTCTCTCTTTTCTTTTCAGATACACTTTGCAAAGTGTCTTTCTTTGTGGAGTCGCAGTGAAGATTGTTAAGGACTTACCTAATCGTGAATATAACTGCATTTTAATGAAGACAATGAGAAGAAAGAGATCCACAAGAATGACTGAATCTAACTCCACATTGACTTGAACCGATGCACACAAATGTCGCTTGGAAGGACAACGGTGCAGTGAAAGCTCCTGGTTCAAACCTCCTGATCAACTGTTGGTTTTTGTGTGGAGCTTGCATGTTATTCCTGAGCCTGCAGGGCTTCCATTGACTTCTTCCCACAGTCCAAAAACACAAACTTGTATGTAAATTGGATGCCTGGATGTGAAAGTATGAATAGTTCTGTCTCCCCTGATGAACTGTTAAGCCCAGATACGATCAGCAATTAAAAATGGATGAGTGGACTTAAACTGCTTCTAGATCTATTTTGAAGGGAAACCAGGGTGGCCTAAAAACTACAAATAAGTATTTACAAATAATGGGGCCAATGTAAACTATTGATTTATCTTGAATTCAGTTTGGATGGATTGAAATGTTTAATCCAGTACCGATGAGAATTTTGAGCACAAATACATCTATATATTTATTGCACAACAGAACTGCATCTTTAAGGCCTCATTATTTTTAGAACATGCTTGACTCTTATTGATACTACAGTTCAGAAGAGTATATCAGCAGGTGTCCAAATCATAGTTAACCTACTTCAAATACAGCAGTGCAAGTAGTACTGCTCATTCTTACATGAACTTCTCTTTCACTGTGTAGTTCTCTCACAAGTTTGGTCTTAAATTTTGTTTTTAAAGGTCTCATAAACCTAAGATTAGTGTTAGGGATGGGTTTTTCTTTAGTCAGAGGCTAAATAGACCTGAGAGGTCAACAAGGATTGGTGGCTCGACAAATCTAAAACTCCACTTGGAAATAATGGTTATCGCTGGTTCAGGGGTCATGTGACTCTTCTTCAGTGTGGCCTACTCCAGAGACTTTAACAAATGAAGATGATGTTAAAATGGTGATTAAAAATTTATAAGGAAGATAAAAATAAGGTAAAAGCAATAGTTTTAAAAGTAAGACCGAAAATTATTGCTGCTGAAAACAGTTAATTGTGTGATTTACATGAATTATTTATTATTGTATGGCTTAGTGCGCCCTTGATGCATTGAGCCATAACTCACAACTCGTGCTGTTCATTTCTAAGGTGACGGCTGCACATCAGAGCTCTGAGACTTTAAAATGGATCCATTTAAAGATTAAATGTTATTGTCCCACATCCTAATGAAGGAGACGCAGAAATCACTATAGTTTCTCAGCAGGTGAAAGTGAAATTAAATGTATTGATTGAACAGGAATTCTTGGTGTTGTGTAAAGCGCTTTGAGTGCTCAGAAGAGTAGAAAAGCGCTATATAAGAACCAGTCCATTTGGTGTGTGTGCTTATTTATTAGCTACAAAACTAGCAGTGTAAAAGAGACTCAAGAGCAGAATAATATCAAGTATAACAAAATGTATGTATTTTCTGCATCACCAAATTAATCCATGTACATTCCCATGAGTATATAGCACTTGATTTAGTGGTTTTAGTAAGGTACGGCTTAACAACTTGCACATATAAAAAGTATTCTCCTAGAAACTTAAAACATGGTCTAATTTAAAGATAAGCAAAAACATGATACTTTCTTTTAAACCAGTATACATACTTCATTACTGTACTTAAGTAGAACTTTGAGGCATCTGTACTTTTCTTACAACTTTTTACTTTTACTCACTACATTTTTAAACATATATTTTCGAATTTGGATTAACGGATCTGACGGGGGTTATTATTTCACAGTATTTCATCATCTAGCTAGCCCTACAGAAAACAAGCAGGTAATTTTAAATTCAGAGTTTCTATCAGCTCAGCAAACACACAAACCGTTTGTGTCTCCAGTTTGCGGCACAGTGTGTTGCTAGCTAAAGGTCCAGCTGCTGTATTTGATGGAGAGAAACGAAAGAAAGCTAACTTGGCTCAGAGATGGATAAAGGTAAGAAAAACAACACGAGAGGAAGAAAAGAGGTTAGAGTTAAAGGTAAGGAATGCTCAGTGGGGTTTGATACACTGGAAATGTAAAGCTTGCATGTAAGTCCTTGTGTTTTTAAATCAGATATTGGGTCTGTACGTGTGGCATTGTGTGTTTTTCGTATTGTGAAACATGCTGCAAAACAAAACGGAGGTAGACTGTGTTATTTAAGGTTCGGTCAGCTTTGCATAAGAGTAGCTGGTAGAAATATTCCTCAAGGAGCTATTTTTACCTTTTTACTTTAAATACATTTCAGAGCTGGTACTTTTTCACTTTTAGAAGTTTAATCAGTGCTTCAACTTTTACGGGAGTTTTTTTCAACACTAGTAGGTGTACTTCTACTTAAATACAGAATGTCTGTACTTTTTTTGGGTTTGTCATATGCATGTCGACAGAGTGACCCTAAATAGAACAAAAGTCCAGCACACACAAAGAAAAGCGACTACTTCAAAATACTTTAAGCACACTTTGCCAGATTTTTTTTTTAATTTCACAATTTTCTGACTTAAGTAATCACTGCAATCTTCAAAACACAAGCCATCATTAAAGCCATCATCAAGTCATACTGTTACAGCAAAGACTAAAGGCTTTCTTCAGGCACTGCTATGACTCAGAGAACAGAAAACATCAAATCTCAATGTACTGAAGACAAACATGACAAAGAGATATACAAAATACATATTCATAAATATATGTTTGAATTTATACCTTAAAATTCATGATCTTTGTATCATTTTTAAGAGTATCAGCTCTTCTTTCCTTCTTCCTTTCCTACACATACTCCTTCAGTGGTAAATTATTAGAAGTGATAGGCTTTGGGAAATCTGGTGCTGTAGCAGGTGAATTTGCAAAACTCCGCCCTATGTAGCCCCTCCGGTACCTGCCGCCCCTCTCCATGAGCGGGCAGGTGCTGCTCAACACAGCTCCGCTGATCATGAGAATAACTGCAGCCGCCCAGCCCAAATAAATAGCCTGGCCCAGCTCTCTTTTGTGCATCACAGGCACGTTGGGGTTGTAGAAATCCTGGAT